TTGCCTCCCTTGTTCGACGGGAATGCAACACTGCAGGATCCTGGCGTGGCTTCACTTGTAGAGCTCCTCAATGATGAAAGACTTGGCTCGGCGTGCGATCCGCTGGGCCTCCATCTTGTTCGTCGGGAGAACTTCGCAGAGAAGCCAATCGAGCTATGGGGTCCTCCAGTCAGCTAGAGGGTTGGGCTCTACCACTAGACCTTCATCAAGCTCCATGACTTTGGGATCGGAGGGGGCAGGCGGTTGGTCAGCCCCTGAACCCAAGGCAAGTAGCTTGTCCTCGGTCTACCCCCGTTCCTCATAGCAGACCAAAGGCTTGTTTTGATCGCTGGCGAAGACGCCCATCAGCACCGGCTCTCGGCTGGATGCCATCTTCACCAATGTGTCAGCCACCTTGTTGAGCCACCTCGGGATGTGATTGAGTTCAAGGCCATCGAACTTGTCCTCCAGCTAGCGGACTTCTCGGCAGTAAGCAGTCATCTTGGTGTCATGGCAACTTGATTCCTTCATGATTTGACCAACGACCAGCTGTGAGTCGCCTTGAACGTCAAGTCGTTGGATGCCCAACTCAATGGCAATCGTAGGCCATTGATGAGCACCTCATATTCGGCCACATTGTTGGAGGCGGGGAAATGGAGGCGGACTGCGTACTTCATGCGTATCCTAAGGGGTGAAAACAAAGACCAGCATGCCGGTGCCTCTCTTCATCATCACCCATCAAAGTACATCGTCCAGTACTCTTGATTGACAGTTGTTGGTGGCATCTAGACCTCAGTCCATTCTCACATCAAAATTGGCTAGTGCTTGGGACTTAATGGTCATTCAAGGGGCATACGAAATGCCCTGACCCATTAGCTCGAGTGCCCATTTGGCGATTCTCCCTATGGCGTCCTATTTTGGATGACCTCGCCGAGAGGGAAGGACGTCACGACCATCACCGGGATGCGCACCACTTTTCCCTTGGAGCTACTAGGGTCTATGAGGACCTCCTTGATGCCCTCCTCGGCAGTCCCTTCCTTGATGATCGTGAGCTCCTCGGAGGCGATGATTGTGCCTTGGCATGCTCGCAGCACTCAACCTCGCTCTCGTAAGCGCACTAGAAGGTGGTGCCAATGGTGATGGCCCCACACGGGCCCAGCATCTTGAGCTTTAGGTAGGTGTAGTTGGGGATGACCATGAACTTCACGTAGCATGATTGACCCAGGATGGCGTGGTAGGTCCCATGGAATCCAACCACCTCAAAGGTGAGGTTCTCCATCCTATAGTTGGTCGGATCCCCGAAGGTGATGTTAGGTCGATCTGCCCGAGAGGTATGGCTTGCTTCCCCAGCACGATGCCATGGAAAGGCACCCCGATTGGTTGGACGCATGACCGGTCGATGCCCATGGCATCGAGTGTCTCGGCATACATGATGTTGAGGCCACTGCCTCCATCCATCAATACCTTAGTGAGGCGCTTCGTGCTGACGATCGGGTCGACCACGAGCGGATACCTCCCGGCTGTGGGATGCTATCCGGGTGGTTGGATCGGTCGAAGGTGATGGCGGACTCCGACCATCGGAGGAAAGACGGTGTGGTCGGTTCGCCACGTAGACCTCGTGTCGTGCGATCTTTTGGCGGCGCTTGGAGTCGTAGGTCGCCGTCTGGGGTCAAAAAGCCACCGTCCTTCCCCTTGGCGTCATCTACCGCTAGCTCCCTCTTCTTTCTCTGGTTCCCCTTATCGAAGCCGATGGATAGGAACCGCTTCATGAGGGCGGAGTCCTTATATAGATGCTTGATGGGGAAGGCGTGGTTCGGGCACGACCCCTCGAACATCTTCTCAAAGTGGTCGGGAGCATTCTTGGCGCGACCCCACCTTTCCGCTTGGCAGCGGCCACGAGCGAGCCCCCATACTAATGCTTTGTTCTTCTTCTTGTTTGGACGGTTAGAGGGGCCCTCACCGACGTCCTCGTCCCGCCTCGCTTTTCCTTTGGAGCGATAAAAAATCACTCCGACCGCCTCCTTGCCTGAGGCGTGGCTAGTCATGATGTCAAGGAGCTCCTTGGTGGTCCGAGGGCCCTTACGTCCCAGCTTGTGGACCAGGGACTCATAGGTAGTCTCGACAGGAAGGCTCCGATGATGTCGGCGTCGGCGACATCGGGCAACTCATTGCACTGCCTAGAGAAGCATCGAATGTACTTGTGGAGAGTTTCTTTGGACTTCTATCAGCAATTTTTTAGATCCTAGGGGTTCCCAGGATGCATATGTAGGTGCCTTGGAAGTTTACCACAAAGATCTCCTTCAAGTCCGCCCAACTTTGAATTTGATTGGGTGAAAGGTGCTCTAACCATGTTCGCTCCGAATCGGCCAAGAACAAGGGGAGGTTGCGGATAATGAAGTAATCACTATTTGCGCCATCGGTTTGATAAGCAAGTCGGCAGTCCTTGAGCCACAAGCCAGGGTTTGTCTCCCCAGAGTACTTCGGGACGTTGGTCGACGGTCGATACCATGATAGGAAAGCCACATTGAGGATGTGCCGACAAAAAGCCTAGGGCCCCGGCAGTTCAGGGCTCGAGCTTCGGTCTTCACTACTGTTGTAGCGTCCACCGCGACGAGGATGGTAGCCGTGGCTGGCCTCCTCTCTCTTATCACCCCTTCCGCGCATCTATGGGCGTCAAGGGTGTTGTGTGTGTCACGATTGGGGCCGAGACGCTCATACACCGAGACCATGGCAAGTCCCCCACCGTCACGTGGCGCCTGGTGGATGGACACGTCTCGACCATGTCGTCCCATAGACACGCGCTGACTGGCATAGAGCTCACGTCGCCGAGACAGCGAGCTTTCTACCTATTGCACCATTGCTCGCTCGAGCAGCGTGTGGATCTCACGGTGGGCCCGACGGTCTTCGGGTGTCATGGGCTCGGGAGCCTTTGGAGTAGGGCTGCCATGGCAGCTATGTTCTAACTTGCCCGAGCAAAGTGCGGGAGGCCTCCGTCATTCCTTAGTGATCCTTTGGTTTACATCACGGGCGATGGCTCATGCGCGGTCACCATCCCCGCGACGCTAGATCTCGTGTTCGAGCTCCGCGTGCTCCTGCTCTAGCTAGAGGCGCGCATCTTCGAGCTCCTGATCCATGCCCTTAGCTATTCCACCTACATGCGGGGAAGGACCCTTGCATCTTCTTCAACTTCGTCATCGAAGTTGTTTGGTGGGGTAGCCCTTCCCTCATGGACGCTTTTGATGCATCCTTCGGGGGTACCTGCCATAAAATATTCTCGCAAGGGGTGATGGCTCCCCCTACTGGAGTTAGAGTCGAGATCGACTCTGAATCTCCCACGAGAAGGTCGTGGAAAGACTCAACGACGTAATCGACCATTCCCACGAATTGATCATCCATGGGAGGTGGGCACATGCACTGTACCACGAGGTGACCAATGGTCCTCGTGGCTTTGCATAGATCGATTGAGAACGCTGTCGGGTGTCTCGGGTGAGATATTCCGGGGAGAGCGGTTCCTCTCCAGCAAGCTACCTCATGGCGTTGGAGAAGGAGAAGGTGAGGCAGCGCACGTCCTCCCGGGACGATCGGGGTCCCAGGAAGGCATCGAGATGACACTCTAGTCTCCCATAATCAAAGTCGAGTAGTTGGTCGCTCCCGGGAAGACGGGCCTCCGGTGTGCGTAGCTGCAGCTTCTCGAGGGCCTCTACGGTCGCGTTGAGGCCGGTGGAGCGAATAAGTTGGATGGGGGCAAGAGCCCGCACCAGCTCTCCCTCCGTGGCGACGATAAAGTCTAGGCTCCCAAAGCGCATGTGCACGCCCGGGACCCAGCTAACGCGGTGGCTAGCCATCCGTGGCCTGTTATGGACGATGAGACGCGCAAAACGCCCCTACCTAGCGCGTCAACTGTCGGTGTTTCGAATCATCGGCTAATAAATTTCTAGTTTGCGCGTCAGACCCGGATGGCTGTGCTGGAAGAACACAAGGATTTATACTGATTCGGATGGAACGTCCCTACGTCTAGTCTATTGTTGCTCGTGTTACCGGCACTTGGTTTGTAGTAGGGTTACAAACAGGTGAGAGAGGGAGAACATCCTAAGTCTCTGGTGAAAAGAGTAAGTCTGGTTGAGCTCTTTGTCTACTGTCCGGTGCCTAAGCCTTCAACCTCTCAGATGCGTTAGATGTGTGTGTTCAAATTTTCCCCTCCGTAGGATGCCCTGCTTCCCCTTTTATAGATGAAGGGGAAGATGCAGGTTACATCCGAGAGAGAGAGAGAGAGAGAGACGAGGAGAGGAAGGCTTCCAGGATTGCAACGTCATCCATCTCTTTTACGTGGGTCCTGCTGGCCCTATAGATGACGATGGGGACGGCTCCACGTCGCGGCCCTGTTCCTCACTGATGTCGTACGCGGGCGTCGTCAGCCGGTCGTGACGCTCGTCCCATCCCAGCGGATGGTATGGTTCGTTGATGTATTCACCTGAGGCCATATGGGGAGTAGGTAGTACAACGCCGACACGCCTGATGCTGCTGGCGACGTGTGTCCTCGACGCGTGACCGTCGGCCGTGGGTCACGTCAGGTCATGTCAAGGCGCACTCGAAGCTTGACCTTCTCGGCGTCGTAGTTTGACCCTGGACTCGTACTTTCAGACCCGTAGTGGTTGGGGGCGGTACGGACCTCTGTCGGGCGAGACGGAGCCCACGCCCTCGGGGTCGGGCGAGACGGAGCTCGCGATCTTGGGATCGGACAAGGCAGAGTCCGCCCATATCCTTGAGGTCGGGATCCGGACGCCGCCATCCGCCGTGGCTCCTCTTCTAGGTATCCTCGAAGTCGCCACCGTCCGAGAGAGCCGCCCCCATAAGCCCTTCTTTGTCACGGTGTGAGACGCAGGTCATGCGCTGAGCGTCGCCACCGCCGATCGTCTCGACGAAGTCGCACCGCCGCCATCCTGTAGCCCATGTAACTCATTTCGCGATGCGACATCGAAAAGATCGCCCCAAAACTGGCAATCTGCGCGTTGTAACTCATTTCACGAATCGCGGCGTAGCACCGCCGGTCGAACACGGGCCCGACTGCGCGATAGCACCACGCATGGGACGTCGCAACCACGTGACGCCATGTCTGTGTCAGCGCCAGCAGCGCCTCGATGCCCGGCGTGCCCACCGCGATCTTGGCGATGTACTCCCCACCGGCGCCACGAGCCCACGGCGCCCACGAGCCCACGTCCGCTAGAGAGCCCAACGACCGGCGTACCGTTCGCAGCAGCTTTCCAGATGATCCACGCTGCCCTCAGCTCGTCCCGCTGCAGGCGGCGCGCGAGGAGCTGGGCTGGGGTGGCGTTCACTGCGAACGAGTCGCGGTGGACTAGGCGGACGTGCAGAGCCGACGACGACGCAGCGACGTCCTCCTGCGCGTGAGGGACGTCGTCGGCAGCCGGGGCGCTATATGTGTGCGGAGACAGAGGAGTTACCGCATAACTATGGTACTCGTACTCCACAGGTGTGGCGAGCCCGACGGCGGCGGCGTGGGAGTGCGCGGCGAGCAGCAGGAGAAGTCCAGTGATACACAACGACGGCATGGTCATTAGCAAGAGAGCAAGAATCATCCTTTGCTGGACCAGTAGAACTGAGATGGAGTGACACCATGGCTCGAGGGGGTTGGTGGTTATATATAAGGGAGCGAGGAGGGCACGCAACGCAAGAGGATGGTGACGGAGTACTGGTAGGAGATTTAAGAAGGATATGTCTAGGTGACATTCAGTTAGTTCCCTAAATATTAGAGATAGAAGAGATATATCTACATATACACTAGGGAGGATTTGATTAGTTAATGCGATATATACCTGAGTCGGGCTTTGTGTTAAATCAACTATAGTGCTTCCAATTTGTAATGTACTAATTTGTAACATAAAATCTACCTTACATTTTATCTTGTTTTATTTATATAATTTGCAGTAGAGGGTGCAAACCCCTCCTGTTTTCCTAAAAATAGATGTTTTATAGGACCTGGTGTGGCTTCAGCAACAGTTTCAGCAGAGTTGCAACGAGAAAATTCGATTATACAGAAAGTAAATCATGCGTTGATAACAATGTTCGCTTAGAGATAGAAGAGATATATTACAGATACACTAGGGAGGATTTGATTAGTTAATGCGATAGGACCTGAGTTGGGCTTGTGTTAAATCAACGGGTGCTTCCAATTTGTAATGTACTAATTTGTAAGGTAAAATCTACCTTGTACATTTTATCTTGTTTTATTTATATAATTTGCAGTAGAGGGTGCAAACCCCTCCTGTTTTCTTTTAAAAAAAAAGATGTTTTATAGGACCTGGCGTGGCTTCCGCAACATTTTCAGCAGAGTTGCCAGAGAGAAACCATACAGAACACTAGCTATTTTTCAGCAAAGTTAGACCATTTTTACGTGTGGAGTAGAAGCTACTTTTCAGCCTTCTCCTCTGGCTCCATCTCTGACCCCAGTGGACGAGCTGTTAGAGTTGAAATAGGAGCCATGTGTCACAATCCTCAACAGAATTTAGGTGGAACGAGTACTTTAGAACGAATTGTGGCGAGTGATTAACACGAATTCAACGATTAAGTGGCTAGATACAAGGCCAGGTGAGCACGTCGCTCCCCACCGTCACCCTCCGGACGCAGCCGGCCTTCTACTTCCTTCTCCTACCTTGCGTCTTCGATCTTCTCTCCATCGGTTTATACCCCCTCTGTCTCCAGCGCAGCTACGGCTACGCCCAGCTGGACCCGGTGTATTTGGTGTTGGGCTTGCGTGCACGCTTGGGCCGACCGACGCCTGGCCCATCCTTTTCCTTTGGCGGCCCGTCACTTGACATGTCTCCGTTTCCCGCCTCCTTGCTTCGCTTGGCGCCGTCCTGATGCAGAGACGAGGGCTTCATCTTCCTGGCATTCCTCCCCCCTTGAAAACCGGCTTGTCCCCAAGCCTGTGCCACCGGGAATTGAAGCTTGAGTTCTTCCTCGAGCTCCCAAGTAGCCATAGAGGGTGGCCAGGAAGACCACTGAATGAGTACTTCAACAACCAGACGATCACCTTGAGGCTTCATGCGGCGCTGTAACACTTTGATGGGAAAACAAAAGGCATCAGTTTCAGAGGTAACAGGGAGTTCAGATGAAACCTGGGCAGCTGGTGGAAGAGCTTTCTTGAGCTGAGACACGTGGAATATAGGATGAACATTAGTGGTGTTTGGCAGCAGGAGCTTATAAGCAACATTGCCCACTTTAGCTATGATGAGATAAGGGCCAAAGTAACGAAATAATAACTTGTGACTTGCTCTGGTGGCAACGGATGTCTGAACATATGGCTGCAGTTTGAGATAAACTGAATCTCCAATATCAAATGAATGTTCAGTCCTGTTTTTGTCAGCTTGAGCTTTCTGACGTTGTTGTGCTCTCAAAAGCTGTTACTGCAACAGTTGTACCATTACATGCCTTTCTTTGAGCCAAACCTGAACATCAGGAATTGCACAGGAGTCTATGACATCGATGCCAAGGTGGCGAGGCTGCTGTCCGTAAAGAATCTCAAATGGTGTGGAATTAAGAGACGTGTGGAAACTTGCATTGTACCAAAATTCTGCAAGAGGTAACCACTACTTCCATTGGTTAGGACAAGCATGAACAAAACACCTCATATAAGCTTCCAAGCATTGATTTACTCGCTCTGTCTGCCCATCAGTTTGTGGGTGATAAGAGGTGCTCATTCTCAGTTCAGTATTGGTTAGTTTGAACAATTGTTGCCAAACATTGCTAGTAAAGACTTTATCTCTATCAGAAATGGTAGCTTCAGGGATGCCATGTAACTTAAAAACATTATCCATGTAAGCCATGGCCACTTGAGAGGCAGTAAATGGATGTTTCAATGGAACAAAGTGGGCATATTTGGAAAATTTGTCTACCACTACAAGGATGCAATCATAATGGTGAGACTCAGGCAAACCTTCAATGAAGTCAAGGCTGACCACTTGCCAAGCATACTCTGGTACAGGGAGTGGTTGTAGTAGACCAGGGTACTTGACTCATTCATGTTTAGCCTGTTGACAAATTGTACAACGAGAAACAAAATGGTTGATCATGTTTTTCATACCAGGCCAAGCAAAAAGATTTCTGATTCTCTTCTAAGTGGCTGGAAAGCCAGAATGACCTCCAAGAGGACTTGCATGAAGAGATTGCAGTATTTGTTGTTGGATGGATTTGATTTTGCCCACCCAGATCTTGCCCTTGTATTTGATGATCCCCTGTTGCAGGGTGAAGTGACCAGATGGGTTACCGACAGCTAGAGTAGATAGAAGCTTCGCTGTCACAAGGTCAGAAGAATATGCATCAACCAACTCTTAAAGGCAGATGGGTTGTAAAATAGATACGGCCAATATTTCTTGACTTGGGTTATTGGATACTCTAGAAAGGGCATCTGCTACTCTAGACTTGAGATGCTCAGGAAATTCTACGGGAGGCAAGGCATGATTGACTGATAACTGACTAACATCCGTGAGCAAAGCACTACCAACATTAAAGGGCACGGGTGAGAGAGTAGCAGAGTGTCTCGCACCTGTGACCGGGGTAGGAATGAAGGTAGTAATTACCCCGTGTCCCACTCTCCGGTGACCATGTTCATCGCCGTGGCCACTTGGCCCAGAAGTTGCCGGCGTAGATTTACCAATCTGAGGAGCGACAGCCGACTCGGGTAGGCTAAGATGCTGAACGTCGAACACCTTGTAAGAAGAATTCGCCAGTTCCTCTTGCTTCAGGGACAGTTTCTCGATCTTCGAACAGAGGTCACGAATGCTGGTCTGCAACTCATCAACGTCGGCTTGGACCTTGGGCTTCCAAACGGACAGATCCTGCAGCATCTCAGTGTTTGCCTCCAACGTCTTCTTCACCGCATCATGCTGATCATCGATCCGGGCTTGCATCCCCTTCAGGAACACGGTGAGGTCGCTGAAATGGCCTTCCATCGCCATCAGCTTCTTCTGCTCCCTCGTCTGGTACTGCGGACGAAGAACGTAGTCCGGCGGTGTCGCCAGACTCCACCAGCTCGTCGACGAGATGGTCTCGCCGGATTTGACGGACCTACGCCGAGAATTGCCTGCTCCGACTACCAATTGTCACAATCCTCAACAGAATTTAGGTGGAAAGAGTACTTTAGAACGAATTGTGGCAAGTGATTAGCACGAATTCAACGATTAAGTGGCTAGATACAAGGCCAGGTAAGCGCGTCGCACCAGGCCGTCACCCTCCGGACGTAGCCAGCCTTCTACTTCCTTCTCCTACTTTGCGTCTTCGTTCTTCTCTCCATCGGTTTATACGCCCAGCTGGACCCGGTGTATTTGGTGTTGGGCTTGTGTGCGTGCTTGGGCCGACCGACGCTGGCCCATCCTTTTCCTTTGGCGGCCCGTCACTTGACATGTCTCCGTTTCCCGCCTCCTTGCTTCGCTTGGCGCCGTCCTGACGCAGAGATGAGGGCTTCATCTTCCTGACACCATGCCAAACATGCACTCACTTTTGTTCAAAGTAAAACTTGCTTATCTTAATTAAGGATACAAACATCTACAAAAATTAAATATATTCATTAGATATGACAAAAAAATATTTGAGTAGTGCATTTATTAATGATACTGTACATGTTAATATATTTTTATATATACTTAGTCAAAAATAGGGAAGTTTGACCAGCAACAAAATAATATTATATTGTATAAAATGATAGTTAGGAGTCACTTGCTTCGATCAGTATATTAAGAGCATCTCTAATAGTCTTTCTAAAACTCATTCTCTAAATCATCATTAAAAAGGCCATTTGAATAAAAGTCGCTTTATATATCTTTGCTCAACAGCTTTTCTATATCTGGTGCGTATTTTAGAGAGTCAAACTCATTGTCCATCTTTAACTAGCGAGAAATTTAGAATAAATGACACATCTATATTTGGATATCCAATTAGAGAAGCTATTGGAGGGTATATTTTTCATCAAAATCTTTATTTCTAACAATTATAAACCTGATGGTTGTTTGTTATCCCAACATTCTTCCCAACCCTAATACCAATCAGGAAATGGCTAATTTCTAACAAATTTTTCTCTCGTTGATTCCTATTTTGTGGCATAGTGCTTTTCTCCCCTATATTGCCTATTGGTACTAGTAGAGTTGGATTGGCCTGGATATAGAGAATCTCTTGAAGTTGATGTAATAGGGCTGCATCTGTTGTTGCAGATACGACATGCATGGTAGCATGGAGCAGCAAGGCTTTGGCAACAGCCAGAACGCAGGTGGCTGCAGCTACAATAGGAGATTAGAGAGACACTGTAGATTGAATATGGATGATTTGTTTAGCTTTTCTCTTTTTTTGGGGAAAGGATTTGATTAGTTATCAATGCACTAGGATCTCGCTCAAGCTAGTGTGTTTGACTTAGGCCCGTTTAGCATAGCTTAGCTTCACTAGTAAAGCTTTTTTTTAAAAAAAACAGTATCATGAACAACTTTCTAGGTGAAACTGAGCTATTTTGAAAAAACTGTTTGGTAAAACAGCTTCACTAACAGCTTCATGCATGGATGAGAGAGAGAAATGAGGGAGTGAGTTAGCATAAGCTACTTTTTTCAACTTCATCCCAACTCATGTCTTTGTGAGAGGAGGAGAAAAACAACTTCATCCATCAAACTATTTTGGAAATGAGTGTTTAGAAAAAAAAAAGCTCACAATAGCTTATGAAGTTGTTGTGAGCTGTGTCAAACAGGACCTTAGAACATCTCTAAGAGTTCCCTAAATCCCTTCTTAATCCTTTGTTTTTAGCAAGATGAGAAAAAATTTCTCTCCAACAATTCTTAATTCATCTTCCTAATCTTTTAGAACTTGGAAAAAGTCATCATGTTCTGCGTAAAGTTATCCGCTTCCGAGTCACGTGTATCTTCTCTCCCAGGCGTGTTTGTCGGTCAATCTAAAGGTGGAAGGACGTGGATAGAATAAAGAGTAAGAAAGGGTTCCTGATGTAAACGTAGAGAGAGAAAGATATATAAAAATGGTGAGAATAATTTAGAAATAGTATAGGATTCCTGATGTAAAATTGTCTTCTATATTTTATGAGTGGATTATTAGAAACTATTGGAGATTGCCTTCTTTATTCCTTTCAATACTTTTTTAGAGTTGTAAAACTCCATGTTTTTTGGGAAAAAAAAGTACTATTATAGATGCTCTTACTAGTGCTTCCAATTTTGTAATTTGAATAAGATGTTTTAGTAGTTTTATTCGATGTCAAACTTGTTTGGCTTTAACATCTACACCAATACATATGTTCATTAGAGATACTAAGAAAAATATTTTGATACTAGATTTATTTATATTATAACAGCTAATATATACTTTTAAAAAAACTTATTCAAAAGTTCGACAAGTTTGACTTTGGAAAAACCAAATATGGACCATCAAATACTCTATTCTCACAACTAATTTGGTCACTTCCAAAGACATCGTGCTCATAAAAGATGCCTCTGTAAAAGAGGTTATGAGAAAAAGCTATTCCCTTCTGTCCTCGAATACACAATCTTGTGTATTATGATTTCTAAAATTTATACTAAAATAATATACATTCTTTGTAATGTCCATGTTCATATTTGACAATCCTTGTTAAAAATAAAACCATATTTATAAGCAGAAAGCCTTTAATTGGGTTTCATTAATTGGATTTTTCCTTAAGTTATCTTAAAAGTTTTGAAATACATTATACTACCTCCGTAAAAGAATGCGGAGGTAGTATTAGAGAAGAGGGAGTATTTGAGAAAATGAACTATTATAGAAGAGGCTTTTTACAATGTGTCACAACCCCTAGACCACTAATAGTTTCGGTGTAACCGTGGGGCTGAGATATCAAGGGGTATCACTCTCGGTTGAAAATGTGGGAGTAGTGGAGATGTGCCTATTGATCCCCGTTGTAGATACAAATTATTGGTTGTAAAACTACACATATACGAGCTTCACAATCGGCTTACAGAGCACGTAATCGGCCAGAAAGCCATGTCGCCGAGTGCTAGCCCAACACTATGGGCCAAATGCTCCAGTGTTGACTCATCCAGTTCTCCATAACTTGCTGATACATCCCATACCTAGCTATAAGACTTGTGTTTGCGCCAATGCAGATTACATGGCATGGAACCTTGTCCTCTGCGCCCAGGATTTATGTGATTGGAATTATAGTAGCAAGTAGCAACCAAATTAAAGAACTAGAGAAACATTTGGGATAGAGCAACGTGCAAAACAAAGGAAGGGGACTGAGAGAAGATGTGTTAGGTTTCATCCCACATCGGTAATTGATGGTGGGGGAGCATAATATATAAGGTAGGATAACCTTCACCTATCATACTAGTCTTTTAGATTGAGTTAGGCTCAAAACATTTGGTATGTTGGGGGCTCCGGTGGACCTAGGTCTGCGGCTCCCATGGTTGGAAAACCTGAAAAATCTCGAGTGGGGTCACATGGTGAAGGAGGAGCCCTTTAACCTCTCAGATGTCACATAGGTTATGTGTGACATGGAGCGTTGGAATGGGGCTTGGAGAATGTTTTTCGGAGATCACACGGGGTTATGTGATGTGAAGAGTTAGGTTCAAGATCACACGGGGTTGTGTGATGTGAAGGGTTGGGTCCGATATGTGATAGGGAGATTATTAAGTTTAGTCCCACATTAAGATCACACGGGGTTGTGTGATGTGAAGAGTTGGATCCGATATGTGATAGGGAGATTATTAAGATGTCACACAGGTTATGTGTGACATGGAGCGTTGGAATGGGGCTTGGAGAATGTCTTTCGGAGATCACACGGGGTTATGTGATGTGAAGAATTAGGTCTGAGATCACACGGGGTTGTGTGATGTGAAGGGTTGGGTCCGATATGTGATAGAGAGATTATTAAGTTTAGTCCCACATTAAGATCACACGGGGTTGTGTGATGTGAAGAGTTGGATCCGATATGTGATAGGGAGATTATTAAGTTTAGTCCCACATTAAGATCACACAGGGTTTGTGTGATGTGAAGTGTTGGATCCGATATGTGACGTGAGATTGATAGGTTTAATCCCACATTGCTCCTCTTGGAAGGCAACTGCAGCCCACTTGTCCTTCCACAACACACCAATCCCTGCCCATCCAACACTTCAATATGGGGCCCGACGGACGCCTTCAAACACTTATCCCGTCGTTGGACGGGCCGCTCCCCGCCTTCTTGCTAGGTCAGCGCCACCATCTTGTCATCGGTCGTTCCCCACTCAGCTCTGCGTCATCCTGAAGAAAGGTGAAAACCACATGTTGCAAGCATATCTTTCAGATGTTTTATAGGTATGTTGCAAGTGTTTCATCCGGATGTTGCAAAAGTAGATGTTTTATTTGTTTTTATCGCATGTTTTTCGGTCTATATATTGCATATATTTTCACACATATGTTGCAAGTGTTTTATCTAAATATTACATATGTATGCAATGGCTTTCAAATGTTTTTCATGTCTTTTCGCAAGTGTTATATGTTTTAAAACAAGATCGAGTGTTGCACATGTTGCAATAGGAACCACCTTTCATAGCCACCAGCCTCAGCTGTTGAGGCGCCGCAGGTGTCCGAACGCGTGTGTCCATCGAGATGTTTGGGCGCGAGCACTGCCGGCAAACAGCGGTTGGTGGGGCTTTGCCTACGATGCTGACTTGCTATCATATTTCTCGGACCTGGACGTGTATGTTTTCGAGCCTAATTCGGTATTCTTTTTTGACCCGTCGGCCTGTCCTCATTGCTTCTTCTCCGATCCGGACGAGTTGGAGCCTAAAATTCAGGTGTCTATTTGTCTCAGACCTGTCCGGACGTTACAGTTAAACACTCGCTGAAACGTGGCTGAATTCTTATTGTCTACAACTCTAGTGCGCCTCTGTCTGCTCATGCCTCACGGTCATGGCTACTAGTAGTATTCTAGAAATACGTTTGGTCAGTATACAATGCATGTAGTGGACTGTAGGTTGGCAATGTTAGGCTGGCAATGGTAAAGGTACGGTGAAATGAACTGAAAAGAGAGGAAGATTGGCCTGCTCGCCGTCTCCACCCTACGGCTCGGCAGTCAGCTCATGATGCGCGCATGGAACGGGGCACATGGAGAGCAAAGGGATTATAATAAGCGAGCTGGGATGCCTGGAGCCCAGGATCTGCTCTCCAGTTTCTTGGGTGGATAGGGAAGGTAAGAGAGCATACTTGACGTACAACGAGGAAGAATGATCCAGCTCTAGTTCTTGGGATCGGATTCCTCTGCCTTCCATTTTTCTTTTTTTTTAGTTCTTTTGCATCGGCGTCGCACTTGACTGGACGAAGCTCACTAGCTCACGCTCGGCGGAGCTTCTTGAGACAAGAAGCTAGATGGCTGCGGTGGCCCGCGGCCCGGCCATGAAAGCCGGCGGCGACAAGAAGCAGGTGAATAGCAGGTTGTTGTCCGTCGCCGTCGGATGCTTCGTGCTCTTCGTCGTCTTCACCCTCTCCTCCCGCTACAACGCCACCTTCGTCCTCGACACCCGTAAGCGTGCTTCTGCTTCGGCTTTCTATTTGAGCCGCTGTTACATTCTGATTTTCTGGGCATCTTCGTGCATCATCTCTGATTCTCTGAATCACCATGGACTCATTAACACCGTGAATTGATGAAGCAGTAGCATTTTGCTTCGACTCATTGGACGCACTTGTTCTTTCAGGCCGAGGCGACTTCCGGCCGTCGAAGGGGGACAGCAGCCACGGCGGCGAGGGCGAACTGAAGCAGTTTGCCCAGCAGGGCAACGACAACAAGGCAGCAGTCACGGAAGCGGAGCTGGAGGAATCAGTGGTCAGAGAACAGAGCAACAACGTCGGGAGAGAAGCGGAGCTGGAGGAGGCAGCGCTTGAGAGCAGCGCCGCCGCCGCCGCCGCCGACGACGACGCGACATCTAATTCCGACGAGCAAGCAAAGCCAGGTACAGTACAGTACGTCGTCTTTCCAAAAGTGTGCGACGAAGCTAGTCCATAAATGCACGGCTGGGCTCTAAAAATTTGACCTGCAAGTTCCTTTAAAGCCGCCGAGGATGCGGTTGGAACCACCGCGCAACCCGTCGTGCAAGCGACGTCTCCTCAGCGCCGGCCCGTTCGGCAGCCGGCTAAAGCTGTTTTTTCTGGTTGCCAAAGGGAAACATTATATATTTTAGCTGATAAGCCGACTGATAAGTTTAAATGAGCAGGTCCATAGCTTATCAACCAAACAAGCCCTAACGAACATGCCGCATATTAACGACATGTAGCCTTTCGTCTCATAAAGTAGATATAATAATCGTTTTTAAGAAGTTAAAATAATTTTAAATTAATCAAATTTAAATATTTAGTATATGTTTTTATTTAAGTCAATTTAAATCTAGAATTATTTTCCCCAAGATGGATGTAGTACTAGTAATTTTGTACCTGCGTCTTCAACAGGAGACATGACACGTGCAGCTGCAGCGGCCTCCGTGAACCAGCAGAGGCAACCGCTGTGCGACCTTTCGGGCTCACGATCTGATGTCTGTGACTTCACCGGCGACATCCGCTTGGACGCCAAGGCCTCATCATTCATCGTCGTCGACCCAGCGCCAACGGGCGCTGCGACTGCGAACGGGCCAACGACGACGTACAAGGTCCGGCCATATGCACGGAAGGGCGACGCCACGAGCATGAGCCGTGTCACCGAGGTCACCGTGCGGACGACGGCCGACGCGGAGTCCGCGCCGCGCTGCACGGTGACGCACGCTGAGCCGGCGGTCGTGTTCTCCATCGGCGGGTACACGGGCAACCTCTTCCACGACTTCACCGACGTGATCGTGCCGCTCTACGGCACCGCGCAGCGCTACCGCGGCGACGTGCGCCTCGTCGTCACCGACGCGGGCGGCTCGTGGCGGTGGCTAGCCAAGTACGACGCCGTCCTGCGCGGGCTCTCGCGCCACCCGCCACTCGACCTCGCCGCCACGGCGGGGGAGGTGCACTGCTTTGGCCACGTCGTGGTCGGCCTGCGCGCCGCGCACCGGGAGCTCATGATCGAGCGGGAGCGCGGCAGCGGCACGGACGCGGACGGGGTCGGGATGCCCGACTTCGCGCGGTTCCTCCGGCGCGCGCTCTCGCTGCCCCGGAACTCGCCCACCACGCTTCCCAGCAGCGGCGGCGTCACGGGCAGGAAGCCGAAGCCTCGCCTGCTGATCGTCGCCCGCCGCGGCACCCGGCGGCTGCTGAACGCGGACGCCGTCGCGCGCGTGGCGGAGGAGGTGGGCTTCGAGGCCGTCGTGGGCGAGCTGGAGATGAGGGTGAGCAGCGACATCGCGGAGGTGGGGCGGCTCATCAACTCGTTCGACGCGCTGGTGGGCGTGCACGGCGCGGGGCTCACCAACATGGTGTTCCTGCCGCGGGGGGCCACGGTGGTGCAGGTCGTGCCGTGGGGCGGCCTGCAGTGGATCGCGCGGATGGACTTCGGCGACCCGGCGGAGGCCATGGGGCTCCGGTACGTCCAGTACGAGATCGCCGTGCACGAGAGCTCGCTCAGGGATAAGTACCCGAGGGACCACGAGGTCTTCACCAACCCAACTGCGCTGCACAGGAAGGGCTTCAAGTTCTTGAGGCACACCTTCTTGATCGGACAGGATGTCACACTCGACGTCGACCGCTTCAGAGTGGTGCTGCTCCAGGCGTTCCAGAACCTCACCAAGTGGAAGTAGCTATTGAGGCATTCCCCGCTAGCTACCGTCACGAGTATATATACCAGCATGTATATCCGTTTATGTGTATCCTCATAATATTGTTTTAGGTGTCCGCAACGTGCATACACCTAATAGATGAATCTAGAGTATAAGATGAGATGAGAAAAGGTAAGTAACTCAAATCCTGTTTGATGGAGCTACAGTGTCATAAATAGCGCAACATCAGGATTCAGGGTCTGTTTGGTTTGGGCGATGGAGTGAGATGGGGATGGGTTGAGCCCAAGAATTCTTAAGGTGGAGTAGTGGAGCACTACCGCGGAATACCTGCGGCCTAGGCCAAGGCCTTGAGCGTCCGAGTTGCTGTCGGGATGAGCCCATGTGCAGCGCGCACGCCACCGGTCATGTCAGGGCCTTAGGGCTAAGTAGGGCTCGCGGATCTTAATAGGCCTATTTTGAGTTTTGGGCCAGGCTAAGCTAAGCTTCTCGGTTCTCTACTGTATTTTTATTTATTTATATATTGCATTTCTTATTGTACTAGAAACTATATGATAATAATATGTTTATACACATAGTTTACCAAATTATAGGCATATTTTTTAGTAATTATACTATATTAACACTATGTAGTCATTGTGGTCCTTCACTCTCTTCTCTGCTAAAACAAGGCCTTTTTCTTCGGTCCTCGGTTCCATTGCCCCTTTTCCCACTCTATCTGCATTTCTTATTGTCCTAGAAACTATATCGATAATAATAATGTTTATACAAAGTCTCTGTCTTTACCAATCCATACCCATATTGTTTTATATCCCACTTAATCCGTAGTCATTGTGGTCCTACTAATTTTGAGCTGCCTCTTTTCTTCATTGTTCATTGCCCCTCACGACACTCATTTCGCTTGACCAGGATTGAGCTCTCCATTGCTCCTCAGCACGCTCTTCTAGATTTTACGGATATTTTAAACCTTTCTCCATGTCACATTGTTTTGTATCCCACTCACCCATTTAAACTTAAATTAATATTCAGTCAATTTCCAATCGGGGTGTTAATCTCTTTGTAATAAATAGAATTTATTATAGACTTTCCAAAAGAATTTGTCTAATATAATTAAATTCATTGTTTTGTTGGCACGACACTCATGAAAAAGATAGAGCCATTCATCAAGCACAGATCAGAATGTGGCTATTTCCACCTTTCTCAATGTCACGAGCTTTTAATCAAAAACTATGTTAACATTCAGTCAATTTCCCATTTAATTTTGTAATACATAGATAATTAGACTCAATTTGTCTAATTTAATTAATGATATTTTAGGGTAGTTGAAAAAATATAGACCATTCATCAATACTTGATCGAACGGTACTTTTTTTATCTACCGAAGAGTGTTTTTTAAAATAAATTTCTTCAAATTCCATCCAATTTAACAAAGATAATTAGCTCATTATCTTTAATAATGATATATAGGTCATCACGCAATGAACTATATATCCTATTGCAACTCTCGAGCATGTACTACTAGTATAAATACACGCATGTCTTGAGATTGTTTTGTTATAAATTTATTTGTTTATCTTAATATGTTGGATTATAATAAATTGGTCTCATTCTTTTTTTAATGGGAATGAAATTGGATACTTCTTCTCATTATTGAAAAAACAACCAGTAACACAAGTACGCCCACATATTTTCTCATGTGGTAATGCTGTGCAAGACGTCCGTCCATCTGGACGGACCTTTCGGGGCCTGCAACTACATCGCACGACCTGCAAACCAACCTGTTTTTTTTATTATCCTGCACCGATCGGATAAGGATAAGAAAAGGAGGCCTCCCGTGCTCTGCTTCGTCCATCGTCCATGGCGTTCACTTCCTTTCCTTCCCCAAAACTCTACAGCTGCCACCTCCACTGCTAAGCCCCCACGCCCGCCAGACCTCCCTTGCCGCTGCTCTTGCTCTACCTCCCGCTCCGCCTGACGACGCGGGTACCGCCGAGTCCACGCCTAGGGACAGCTTCCTCGGCTGCTAGCAGACCACCGAGGCCGTCCGCCAGCTCACCATCGAGGCTGTCGCGCTCGTGCTCGCGCCCGACGACGCTGACAAACGCCGCCGACACAAGGAGAAGCGCCAGGCCCTAGTGTGGAAGCCCTATGGCTCGTGCTCGTGCTACGGCTGCGGCGCATCAAGAGGCCGCATCAGGATACGTTGCATGTTGCAAATGTATCTTTCAAATGTTTCATATGTTTTAGAGATACGTTGCAAGTGTGTCATGTGGGTGCTGCAAAAAAAAGTAGATCGAGATGTTACAAATGTTGCTATGGCTATAAACATATGTTTCAAGTGTATGTTCCTAATGTTTCATCTATTTCAGACATATGTTGCAAATATTTTATCTGGATGTTGCATATATATATGCAAGTGTTTCAGGTGTTTTCACATGTACGTTGCAAGTGTTTTGCAATGGCTACACACATGCTTTCAAGTTTTTTTCTGGTGTTTTTACAAGTGTTTTAGATATATGTTACAAGTGTTTCAGCTGTTTCGGATGTATATTGTAAGCGTTTGATTTGGATGTGGTTGGTCGATGCAGAAGACGTCCGGGACTCCAGGTGGTGTGAATCCCGCCTAGGGCCTTGTTTAGATTGAGGTTAGAAATCAATACTTGGCACTGTAGCACCTTCGTTTGTATTTAACAATTATTGTCCAATCATGGCCTAACTAGGCTCAAAAGATTCGTTTCGTAATTTACAATCAAACTATGTAATTAGTTATTTTTTTATCTACATTTAATATTCCATATATGTGTCCAAAAATTTAATGTGATAGAAAAAAAATGAAAAAACTTACAATCTAAACAAGACCTGGCGTGCAAAACGATCAGACGTGGGAAACGAGGTGCAGAGAAATGGACCAGCAGGCGCGGACGTCAAGACGTGCGCGTGTGTCCGGACGTTCGGCACTAGCATCTCTGTTTCTCACATGTGCCAACCTGACTATATATGTTTTACTTTTACTGACTTGCCGCACTGTACTACCATTCATTAGCACAATATAAGGTTACAAATATGGCTGTATTTATTTCTCCCTCCTAAACTTTAGTCCCCATCACATCAGATATTTGAACATATGCATGGAGTATTAAATATAGATTAATTACAAAACTAAATACACAGATTGAGACTAATTTGTGAGACGAATTTTTAAGCCTAATTAGTACATGATTTGACAATGTGGTGCTACAGTTAATGATGGATTAATTAGGTTTAATAAATTTATCTCGTAGATTACTGAGGACTTGTGTAATTTGTTTTATTTTTACTGACCGAATACTCGATGTGACTCTAAACTTTAGCCGCTGAATTTTATGTCACAGAGAAGAATTAACCGACAAAGAATGAACAATATATCGTACAAGAAAACAAAACTGTCACCTCTCTATCACGCTAGACCTGAAGAAGGTCCAGAACCTGTAAAAGTATAGGCCTGAATCTCCTGATATTTAATTTCACATCCTGTGCCATAAAAATGTCCGCTAATGCATTCCATCCTTGACCATGGATTGCCATGGGGTCCTTGAACACCAAGTGGTCTCTTGGGTACCTCTGAGCAAGGCTGCTCTCTTGTTCGGAGACGTAGTACTCCAGGTACCTCAGGTTCATGCCACGCGCTGGCTGCCCGTAGAAGTTGGTGGCCATCCAGTCCATCTTCCCCCATGGAACTATCTGGATCACCACGGCCTGTGGTGGGAGAAAGACCTGGTTGGTGAGGCCAGCGCCATGGACCGCTAGCAGCACGTCGCACGAGTTCACCATTGTTGCAAACCTCTTCAAGTTTCCCCTGGCCTCGGAGACGATCACGTCAAAGCCTAGCGCCCTTGATGTGGCTGACACTTGACGAAGGTTCAGGAGCTTTCTCGTGCCTCGCCTTGATATGATCAGCATTCTTGGTTTCTTGCCAGGCTGCTCACCAAGGACCAATGGCCTGTCCCTTTTGAGGCCATATGAGTGGCGCAAGAACCTTGTGAAGTCAAGCATCGAGTACCCCTTTGGGTTTCTTGTGGGATGTGGCCCAAGGATGAGATCTCTATCCCTCGTCAGGCCGAGGATTACATGCTGAAAACAGTGGACATCCTTGTTAGAGCCAAAATCGATTATGTCATGATGCGATAGCCTCCGTAGCACCGGTTTATATTTCTGAACCCACCACTGCTTGTAGTTTGTCATGAAGAATTTTACTCGTCCTTTGTATTGAAAGGAAGTAAGATATAGTGGGATCAGCACATCTGACATGTCGTGGAAGAAGTTTCCGGTATAGCCACCAACTGAGAAGATAACTGCTGGGACATCATGGCTGATGCTGCATTTGGGAGCATCATTTTCATTTGCAACTGCTCTGATGACCACTTCTCTTACAAGGGGTAGCAAGGATTCGTCCTTGCGAGCCTAAGGCGTAACCCGCCGCCCTTCCTCGCCTTGTTGCTGCATTGGCGTAATAAGAGCAACTGATGCGCTTTCAGGAGAAACTCGCACATCACCAGACATGTGGCAGATGATTGGCCTTGCATAAGGGAAGCCCTCATCTTTACTCTTGTCGTCACAATATATCTTGCTCTTAGGCTTTGGAACTTCAATATCTGTAACTGTTGGAAAGGAAGAAATCAAAGGTAGAAAACCTTTCTTGCCGTATCATGCGCTGTCTGATAACACGTAACTCATTCATGTTTGAAATTTGGCAGGATGGTGCCTGTCAATAAGTCATCAATAAATCATCTGTATTGCAGTGTTCATCTCACCTGATCGTCGGGAACTCATGAGAGAGTTTTCGGGTGGGGAACTAGCATTTGTTGAAGATATAGTCAGCCCCTTCATTCCTGATTTATTATCCAAATCTGTTATATGGTTGGAGTTGCTGCTTTCAACTTCAATATCTGCAGAGGTCATATTTGGATTGTAAATAACGATTGAAGGTAAGATGACAGAAAAACTTCTGAGTTATACAACAATTGAATGTGCACAAGATTATTGCAAAACAAAACAAAGCTAATGAATAACATTTCATAATTATCATTGATGATACATGTATCTAACTCGAGAGTTATACATTTATTATGCATAATAACTTCACTTGTCTGCAAATTAATTCCTTCAGTTTCAAACATACTTTTGATACAACATTTACTATTTTTCTCGCCTTCCAATCCAATTTAAACAAGCATAGCTGGCGGTGACAAACACAAGGTCCTTGCAACTTTCAGTGACATCTCAGATCAATGCACCCCTAAAGTCTAAAACAAGCTAAAGTCTAGAACCTACTACCAGCAAGCAAATGCATGATTGAGGGGAGGGCCATACCAATTATAGAACTGCAAGGTGGTGGGCCTAGTGATGAGAAGATCAGAAGATCCCAAAAATAGGCATGCACTACAGTACTTCCATTGCACTGTCCCTGATCACGATGCAATGCAACCAGTGTGGTCCAGTCCAGCACACTTCGGTGCCACTCACTCACAACCATTAACCATGCGAGCAGTGATCTGATATATCTGGCTGGACAGAGGCAAAAGGGAGTGGAGAAAGATAAGTTTCACGTGCTATCTCCTCACCTAATTCTGGCGAACCCCTGACCGGATCAGCACCCAATCTTGCAGGAACCGGAGCACTGGGCTCTTGAAGTCGATGTCCGTCGTCCACAAAGGCCCGCTGCAAGGAGGTCAGAGCTCCAGCCGCTGCTGGTACAAGCAGAAGCAGCCTTTTAAGATCAAAGGAGTGCGAAATGGGAGAGAATAATTGGAGAAAATGAAGAACCTTCAGCATCGTCAGAGATAACATGGTTTCCCTCGGCAGGATAAACTCCATTGCCAGCTGCAAGCACAAGCACAGGCACACACATATGTCAAGTCCTAGAAGCTAGAAGTCAACTGAGTGGTGATCTCTGACTTACACGAGAGTTGTGACGGCAGGACGACGGAGAGAAGCCTGGCCGCGCAGATGCAGAGCACCGGGGCGAGGAGGCACGCCGCGAGAAGCCTGACGGCGAGCTGCCTGTGCCTGAGCTCCAGCTTGGTCGAGCTCCTGGCGCTGTGCCTCGGCTTCCTCGCGCCGACGCCTCTGCTTCTGCTCTTGCCGTGCTGCACCAGGAACGCCATGGCTCACGCGCTCAGCTAATCATCTGCTGCGGGTTTTGGGGAGGGAGCAGCCGGGCAGCGAAGTATAAAAAAGAGAAGTGAGGGGTGTTGCGAGGACGTGGGCTGTCAGTGTGGCATTGCCACATGTACGTGTGGCCGAGTGGGTGGGTTCGCGCACAGTGGAGAGCCTGGGCAGGGTGGAAAGCGGCCATTATTGTGAGCTCGCTTTTGTGTCAGTTGATTTGATTATATTTATATATATGCTTCTTATTCAGTTGAGATGGGTAAGTGGGTTCAACAACTTAATAAATACTGTGCAGTTACTACTAATAACTAGAAACAGTGCCAAAAACTATGCATTTTGTTGTTCATTTTTAGGTGTTTCTGAACCAGGAGATGATGGCAGGAGGGCTGAATTATCTTGGTAAACCTGAATTAGCTGTGCCTAATTAGAGGAGGAGCGACATAATAGATTGTTTACCATTCTGAAATTGCTGTTCTCTAGCGGTCGGCTAAAGCGCCACCTCCGCGGATGCATGTGTAGTGTAGCGTCGGCTTCCCATGTGGTTGTTGTTGGGCAGCAAAGCTTGACCTGCTGCTGGTACGTTGCGGCGGCTGGCCCCTGTCATCAGGTCCTATTTTTTACTATTTAGCCTTAAAAGGGCTAAATAGGAAAAAATTAGGTCATCAGGTCCTCCCCCTTGTTCCTTCTTTACATCTTCTCTAGCCTCGCAGTGGTGTGTCCTATTTGGTCGCTAAACATGTCTCAAATGTAATACTTCGTGCTTAAATCCAGTAGCTAGGAGATCTGGTTAACAGCTAGCGATGGCTCCTCGCCACCGCTAATGTTTTTTCTGTGTAACTTTGGCAAACTCCCCTTCCACTGCCCACAGTGTAAGTCCAGGCTGAAAAAAATACCCGTACGCCACATACTCCAATGCCGAGAGCCCGGGATTTCAAAAGTACATGCGGGACCATTTTGTCAGTACGTTATTTGATCATTCTACTTTACTCGGTGCCTGCTTTTTTTAACTCAGCATCGATCTCTACAATGGGATGAGCGGATGCTTGAACCCTCTCTTTCCTCGAGGTCCGATCGAGAGAAAAAAACGATAATCGTTTGGGATCTTAAATTTCCAAGGGGTCTATCACTCTATCCATCTAAGCGCACGTGAGAGAGATGCTAGTAGTTTTGTATATGGTGTATGACAAGGAAAGTCCAAAGGCATGTGCTTCCCAGACTGATGAAACAAAAAAACTGTCCTGGCGAGGCTCCGTTCGCTTCGCTGAAAAAATAAGCCGAAGTATTGTTTCGACTGATTTGTTGTGAAAGAAAAACACTGCTCCAACTGAAAAAACAAACTGAAAAACACGAATCGAACAGGGCCTAAGAGTCAGACCTTTGCATGGCGCCGCCCGCAGGCATCCATTCCAAGAATTCATTCCATATCTACCAACACCTCTGTCCATAGCCTCTAACTTAATTTTATATATATTTATATAAATATATTTAATATTGAAAACAAAAAAAATATTTCTTCCATCTCATTCTCTTCCTGGTCTATCCATCCCACGCTCATCTTTCTGCAGTGTTCGGCTGGCAGTAATGTTATACTGCAGCATTCAGAAAACACTGTAGCAGCTAGTTTTTTTTTTAGAAAAACACTGTTCTGGCTAGAAAAAAAACTGGCCAGCCAGCCGACTGTGGCCAGCCGAACAAGCTGTTCATCTCTAGGTCCATCCCTTTGAATTTAGAGCCCAGTCGATCCATCCCTACTTCTTTTTCTGTCACTAAGTCCGTCCCTTAGTCCATTCAGTGGCGGACGCAGGAATTTAAGATTGGGTGCACAGGCTACATATACACACATATATATATGTAAAACTAAATGTCCATCAATTCAAAGCAAATAGTACTAGAGCAAAGTACATTAGTACAATTATTTAATCCACTTGCAGTTGGAAGCGGTAGCAATAGCACTTATTTAAGAAGCTTGTAGGAATATGAGTGTAAGACATGCTTTCACTTTGCTAAATCTTTCGTCAACACGCATATCAGCAATAAAGTTACCAAGCTGATAGGTTAGACGCCTCAAGTCGGTGATTGAAAAGTCTTTGGGATTAAACTTTGCAACGACGACGATCGGCAACCGGCCGGCGCCCGGTGGTGCCATGGTGGGCTCTTTGTGCGACTGTCGTGCCGCCTACTGATGCTGATTTTTGGTCGATTGGGAAGGGTGAGTCGAAGCAGGCGGGTGCGAGCGCTGGAGGCGCCGTCACGGACGGCCAGAGGGCATCACTCCTGGTTGGCTGGTTCCCTCCGTGAGTCTGCTTCTTGGGCTAGCGGGCCGGCCTAGCTGGATGGTGGATGGGAGGAGGCGAGAAACGTGGCCTTTTAACTCTTAATTGGGTCAAATATACATAGTTTAGTCTACTCATATGTATAACACATGTATATGCATAGTACCTGTAATTTTTTTCTCAAACTTATTGGGTGTATAGATGTACACCCATGTCCACATACTGCATCCGTCCATGAGTCCACCCCTTTGAATTTGAAGCACAATCTATTTACCCCCTCACTTTTCTATTCCTTGGTCTATCGCTTTTAAATCTCTTGCTGCAAACTCTTTGTTGGCACCACACCACTCATGCCATGGCTTAGATGCTCGTACATGTTGTGGTGTGCATGCGATATGCAACTTATCATCTACCTTTTTTTTAAAATCATAATAGGTGCACAAAATGGCCACCCTTCTAGGCTGGGTCAATCTCTTGTCAATTTCTCATATGAGATTTGAAAGCATTTAGGCCCCTAGTTGGGTTTCGGTGCTTAATGACAATACGTGATTACTATGACTAACATGTGTTTTGCAGAGGCAATTAAGTTAGGTCATGGTAATGGAGATCGATTGGGCAATCATGGTGGTCATGCCTCTATGATGGAAATCGTTTTGGTTTTCAAAGGATGGATGACAAGGTTAAGGATGGACTAGTTCTAAGTGTCGTTTGGAGTTAAAGAGACACTTAGAGTAGTTTATGACTTTGTTTTTTCTTTGACCGTACTATTAAGGGGGGTATGGACGGATAACTTGACCTAGGTGAGTCTAGTGAGTTAGGTGTGGTGCACACTTGTTAAAACTAGCACTAGGTAGCTCCAAAATAGCCCTTAGATTCAATGGAGCAAATTTTATTCACATATGATCGAGAGTTAGAAGTGAATTGAGGGTCAAATACTAACCGAACGCTGGTTTCGGGTTGACCAGACGTTGGCGCAGAGTCCGGTCAGTTCATTTGACCAAGGTGTTTTCGTCTGGTGCGACCGGGCGCTGAGAGGTGAAGTGACCGAACGCTGAGAGCCAGCGTCCGGTCGACTCCAGTAAGGTTCCAGAGAGGGAAAATCATGACCGGACGTGTCCGGTCAGTGATGACCGGACGCTGGCCAGCGTTCGGTCACACTTTAAACACTAGAGTTCAGGGTGAACTGACCGGAGCGTCTGGTCAACATGACCGGAGCGTCCGGTCACCCCGTAGAGGCACATAATGGTTCGTTTTTCAGTCGGTGTTATAAATACCACCTTCACTCATGTGTGGGGGTACTTTTGCTCATTCCAACAGCTGAGAAACACGTTTAAGAGTGCCAAGAAGAGCAAGGTTCTAGTGAGGTGATTGAGATTTGAGAATCCCAAAGAGAGCCCTCATTAGTGAGATCAAGAGTAGCAAAGTGTGCATCCACCCTTCTCATAGGCTTGTCGTGGTCAAGTGAGAGTTTGTGCTTGTTACTCTTGGTGATCGCCATCACCTAGATGGCTTGGTGGTGATTGGGAGCTTGGTGATCATCCGGAGAGCTTGTGGATGACCCAACTCAAGTTGTGAGCGGTTGTGGGTGATTCACCGCGACGGAGTGTCGAAGAATCAACCCATAGAGAGCACTTGATCCTTGCACGGATCAAGGGGGAGCTACACCCTTGCGCGGGATGCTCCAACAAGGACTAGTGGGGAGTGGTGACTCTCCGATACCTCGGCAAAACATCGCCGCGTTCTTCCTCCTCTCTTTACTTTGAGCATTTACTTTGAGCAATTCAATTCTTGTCATTTATTTATATTCTTAGAATTGTCATGCTAGAGTAGGATTGGAACATAGGTTGCAAGTCTTTTGTACGGTAAAACAATTAGAAATACTTTCTAGGCACAAGGGGTTAATTGGGCAAACCGTAGGATTTAATTATTGCAAAGAAATTTAGAATTAGCCCAATTCACCCCCTCTTGGGCATCTTGATCCTTTCAATTGGTATCAGAGCCTTATGCTCACGTATTTAGGCTTAACCGCCTAGTGAAAGATGTCTCACGGGGATGGACCTCCTCCTATCTTCGAGGGGGATGATTTTCCATATTGGAAAATCCGCATGGAGGCGTATCTAGAAGCTTTAGATGTTGGAATACTTAGAGCCGCCTCACAAGGTTTTCCAAAACCTCGGGATGCCGCACACCCACAAGGCGATGAGTTGAACTATGAAAAATGAAATGCAAAGGCTAGAAACACCATATTTAGAGGCCTTTGTAAAGATGTGTTCAACCGGGTGAGGAACCACAAAGACGCCCATGCACTATGGTTGGACATTTATGCGCTCCATGAGGGAACAAAGAGTGAGCATGAGGAACGCTATCATCTTGTCATGAAAAAGCTTAACTCTTTTGAAATGCTTCCTAAAGAATGTGCTAATGAAATATATTAATGTTTGAATGTTCTTATAGAGAAAGTCAATGGGCTTGGACTCACTCAAATGCAACCATCCGATGTTATAAGAAAGATCTTGAGTGTCCTCCCCATTGACAAATATAGGCATATTGTGACCGTGCTACATCAAGGTGATCTTTCCACCGCTACACCGACACAAATCTTGGGAAAGATCAATGCTCATGAGATGTGCATGCACATCACACCTCAAGATGGCTCATCCTCTACAAAGAAGAATGAAAAGGATTTAGCATTCAAAGCTAGCCAAGAAAAGGGCAAAGCAAGG